AGCCTGCCGCCTCGACAGCCAAGGCTTCATCAAGCTCGGGATCAGCATGGGTGTATTGCAAGCTGACCCAACAGAAGACCACCGTGGTATGCAAGTCGCTTCTCCAAAGCAAGCTACAACGAAAGTTTGAGCACAAGAGCTACGCAGGCTCTTCGCACGCTGTTGCTGTGGCAGAAGCCTTCCAGTCAAGTGTTGAATCCATGTGTGTGGAATTGCTCACCGCGACAAAATTGGATCAGCTGAAGACCTTTTGCACAAAGCATGGTATAGATTTGCCTGGGGGAAGGCTCAGCAAGGTATTGCTCGTCGATGCCGCTGAAGAGGCAAGCATTGTGGAAAACTAGTTCACACTTTTCAAAATCTATATATATATATATAATACAGGAGATTTCAAACTTGCCTGTCAAGCTTTTTGCACATACAGTTGGCAGCGAGTTTGTTATTACATGTTCAACCTGTTTCTATCTATTGTATCCCACAGGGATTTGCCCGATCAACGATCCTTTCAGGCCTTTTATGATGGCAAGTGCAAACATTTGGAAGACAAGCTGCGCGCAGCGTATCAAAAGAGCACCGGCGCTGATTGCACGCCGGTGGGGTCTGCGAGTTTGAAGCATGGGATAGTCACGGATCCTTTGACGGGCAAGTTCATGGCCACCTTTGACCTTGGCAAAAATGGCTCTGTTTGCAAAATTTTTGTGGACAAGCAAGATGCGGACTTTTGGTGGGATTCTATGCAGTCTCTGTTTCAGAAAGGTCGGCTTGTGCCAAACCTTGCGGCTGTACGCCAAGCTCAGGCAACCCGGAAAGCGACAGCGGCTGTCATAGAGCAAATCATGAAAGAGAACATTTCCATGAAGGGTGAGGAGAATGTGAACTACTCCAGAGACACGAAAGAAGGCTCTGACGTTTTCCAAACCTTTTTCCGTGAGACGCCAGCCTCGCAACTTCGGCCTTCAAAGGTGCGGATTTACAAGTCATCGCTGGAACAGCTGGAAGCCTTAGCCAAGACTCAAGACATCCAAGGTGTTCTTGCTGGCATGATGCATATGCAGCTGGGATGGCGCGCCAAGGTTTGCATTGTGACGGGAGGCTGCTTCACTGACAAAGACGCGGATGAGTTTATCGAGAGCTCTGGCATGACCAAGCTTGGCATTTTTTTCATCCAGCACCACGGTGGATCCTTCTGATGCAGCGGTTGCAAGCCTCCAGCTTGTGAAAAAAGTCTCCAAGTGTGCTGTACCCCTCCTATTGCTGTTCATCCAGGAGAAGTTCAAGGTCACGCCAAGAGGCTTTGAGCTCAATCCAACGACCAATGAGTTGGAAACCGTTTCAGTGGAGACTATTGCAAAGCGTGCAAGTGGTGAGGAGTTCCAAGTCTTGGGTGTGGATGGTCCTCAAACAAAGGCAGATCCCAGGTCAAAAGCCACCTAGTCGCAAAAAACTGTGTGCAAATTGTTTGTATTAGCCTATATTATACCATTTGCCCTGTGTTTTTTGTGTAGGACGCCCTGGTAAAGTTCTATTTCGCGCATTTCTATCTATTGTATTGCACCACGTATTGCATTGGATACAAAAGATAGAAAACAGCTGATTTGGAATCTGTTTAGTGTAAAGTTGCAATATGGCAGATAGTATGATTTTCCTCTGAGGTTCGGGAAGCTATGGCCAACATGTTCCAGAGATCTTCCAGCTCCGCCGCTGATGCAGATGCAGATCTTCTCTCAAAAAAAGCCTTTGAGATGGCCAGGCAGGCGTGCAAGCTTGGCTCTGCCCCCCCAATTCCTTCTAGGCAGTCGTCAGGGGAGCCAACGCCTTCTCCTTTTTCCACCCGGGCCCCATGCTCACAGCAAAAACCACCTGCAGAATCAGACTCACCTGGACAGCCACCTGCAGAATCAGAACCGCCTGGACAGTCAAAACCACCTGCAGAATCAGAACCACCTGGGCCTGGGCGGCCTGGTCAACCAGAACCACCTGCCACGGAGCCAACAGCTGAGAGCTCCAATTCCAAGACATCTGACCTGGGTGGGGAGGATGACCATGATGAGAAGGAAAACATGGAGCAGGCTGCGGAGGAGACCGAGGGCCACAGCGGTGCAGGTCTACACCAACAAGATACTTTTGATAGCTGTGACTGCACGTGCAGCCCTGACCTTGCAAGCTTGGAAGACATTCAAAGTTTACTTTGCGTTGCTGCACCATGGGCGCGACTTCTGGCTTCTGGAAAGAAAACATGGGAGCTCAGGCCCTACCCAACCCGCAAGCGATGCTGGGACACAATTTAGCAACCTGTTTTTGGTGGTAGTGTGCATATATATATATATGCCAAACCATGTATGTTTGGAGCACCCAAAAAACCTCACGTATGGACATGCCTGAAAATAGCAGGGGGATACAGTAGATAGAAAAGTTACTTGTAGCAGTGTATCTCCGG